AATCTTGCTCCGTATGTGCTGTGAGGCAGTCCTCTGAAATGAGACTTGATGTGACTAAACCTGTGTAAGTTTGATCTGGTTTCATCAAGAAGACATCCAAAAGGTGAGATCTTGACCTTTATGAAGTTAGTAGCAGAGCTCCTGTTGCCTGTGCTGGAATTAGTGTTTTATTAAATAAGCAAAAATTGCAGTAGCTGCCACTGAAGGGTTGTTCCTCTGTGGCTTTGTGAGTAGTGCTTGGTAGTGCTGCACAATAGTTTAGGTAACTGAATGATGTGATGTATTCATGTAGAAATATTCCCAAGAAAAACAGCTGTATTAATATACCTCAATTGGTTTTACTATTAGACTGGTATATTCTAAATAAATCCTCCTGCCCCTCTGACTTCTGACATTTATGGAGGAGTTTGAAATTCCATAGCATTCTTATAAAAATGCTTAAAAGCCGTGAAGCATTCCTATTTATACCAGCTCTGTAAGCGTTTATTCTTCTCTCTCTCTCTTTTTTTTTTCTTTTTTCCTTTGTAATATAAAACCTAAATTATGTTGGTTAGGATTATAGGTACTTCCCTGTGAAGAAACTGATACTTTGTTGTGAGGCAGCAGTAATTCAAAGGTCAAGTAAGGTCTTTCCAGTTTTTCCCTTAGAGATGTTGTTTAGAAGGAGATCTTCCTACATTGATTTCTTGACTTATTTCTCTCAAGTCGGATCAAGTGACTTGCTGCTTTTTCTTCAAGCCTGCCAGGTTTCCTTATGCTGTTCTGTGCCTGGATCCCCATGCCATGGACATTTGAGGAGAATGGTTCATGGCTCTTGGCAAGGCAGTCTAGTTGTTGCCCAAAGTGGACTCGGTTTGGCTCAGAGAATGGTTAGAACAATGATCAAACTTTAGGTGTTCTGGTGGCTTCTCACTGTAATTGCCTGATGATCTAATCTAGTGGGTATTCATATTATTTGCACCCCTCCGGGTGACAATGTTCTTTTTTTTTTTAGTTAAAAGAAGGAAGTTTTTCTTGTTTGCCCAGTGACTCTGTCCTTTTGGTATGAAGATGAGTAATGTTGGCACTGCTCCATGCACCTGCTCGGTGCCACCCTCCAAGATCACCTGAGCAACAGTCAGCAGATCGAGGCAAGCAGGGGTGGGATGGTTGAATGAAAGCTGGGGAAGTGTTTATGGTTGGAGTCTGAAACCCGCTTTTGGATAGAAGCAGGCGCTAAAAACACTATCACAACTCTGGGGTTTGTTGTGTGCTGCCTTGCAGGTTTGATTGTTGGCGCCAGATGTTGTGAACCTTTATTCTCAAGGACTACCCTGGTGTGTATTCTCCCTCCTCCTCCTCCTTGGGTAGGGCTGAAATTAACTGAAGAGCATTCAGTGATAACCTGCACTATTCATTAAATAATTTTGGACCTCGCCCTTCTGAGCCTTGTGCTTGTAGCCACTTCAAAGTGAGTTTATGTGCAGAACAGCCACGTTTCCAGTGGTCTTACAGACACATGTTAAATGAATTTCACAGGATCAGGCAGTCAGCCTCTGGGTTTTGCATAGGCCATGTAGCAAAGGCATATTTCTATTAAACAACAGGTGACTCAACTTGTGAGCTGATCTCTGCAATTGCCTGGGGACTTCACAGCAAGTCCTCTCTATGCTACTATCTCTGTTTTGTGTTCCCTCCTCTCTTACAGTGCGCAGGTATGTCTGAAGATAACTCTGCACCTGAAAAAACAACCTGAGACTTCATCTGACTGATAGCTTCCCATCACCTGTTGCCAACCAGGATAAGCAATTATCACATGCATATCTTTCAAGAAAAACACAGAATTAGCAACATTTACTGCTTGAGTTTGAAGTCTGTCACTCTCACTGGATTCTTCTGTGTATGAATGACACAAAACTTAGTAGTAAAACTGAAAGTGCTTAACTGTTCTCCAGCCTTTTTGAGGTGGTGAACCTGTTCCCATCCCACCTGATGCGTAAGCTAATTAGCTTCTTGGCTAAGCAGTAATCCTGGGCAAGTATGTACAGGCTGCCCTCACAGGGACTCTTGCATTCCTCTTAGTTTCACAAACTAAAGGTGCTTCTCTTCGCTTAGGAGGTTATTATTGCTCCATGCAGGTTAATTGAACTACAGCATTATAGCCACTCATCAAACAGTGGTGAGTAGCTCACTTGTCTAAGCTTGTTTATTTTATAATGCTCAAAAATATTTGCATGCTGTACAGAAATGTGCTGCTTTGGTTCCTTACAGACTGGCAGTATTATAATTTTAAATTCTTCATTAATCTATCTTCTTCACAAGGTTCCTGGGCATAATTACATGATGTTTAAGACAGAAGCCTCAGATACAGTTTTTACACAATGCCCTGCAAACATGAGTCTTTTCTTCCTTAGATAGTACCTACATTACCTCCCCTTTTATGGCCATTCTTGATCTCGGCATGATTGCATGCAACACTGTTTGCAATTACTGTGTTAGTTCTGCTGGTTCTAGCCTCTGATGTTTTGCTCTAGAACATGCAGATACAGAGTGAGCATGAATGATTTCAGACTAGAAGTTAGAACAAGGTAGTAAGATGGTAAAGCTACAATGCTCAGGAGCAAACTTGAGAAATTGGTTCAATCTGGGAAATCTACCTCATAGTGGTTCCTTGGAACAGAATTGGACTAAAACTGAATTTTCCCCTTGAAGAGTGGGGTGTTTTTAGGCTTTGTGGTTACAAATAGTGCATCATCCAGTCCAGAGGCCAGTGCAGTTTTGCATGGTTGTAAGTAGTCTGCATTTAACCCTATGCATCTTAATAGATTTAGGCTAAATTCCCAAATATGTCTAAAATGTCTACAGAACCTATCCCAATTTCCTTCCAGCTCTATCATAACAACTTTTCCAGTGCACCTCACTAATTTCCATCTTTGGCACACTGAAAACAGAAATTGCTGGAAAAGCCTAACACAAATAGAATTTGGTGTCCAAATAAATAACACATGGGCTTCAGTACTGGTTGTTCTGTTCATTTTTGTGTTTCACTACATTAAAAAGTTAACTCACTGGTTCTGCTATGACTTTCCAGCTCACTCAGAAAGTAGATTCCAGGAATGCTGTCACCCAAGTTAGTTGCACAAGATTTTCTTTGGTAATTAAAATAATGGGATAAAACAGGAAGAGATAGGCTTAATGCTAACAGTTGGTATTTAAAGAAAGTAGTTTGTTGGCAAGAATATCTTCATATTGTATTTTGGTCTACCTTTTGTTTTGGATTTCCAGGCTGATTCCTAGTTTGCATCCACAGTAAAATTAGTAGTATTCAGTCACAGGAAATACTTACAGTATGAACTGTGCCCTCCCTTCATCAGATCAGCAGAATAAGCTCATATTCTTGTGAAGTGAAACTCTGTGTGTGAAATGGTTGCATACAAAATTACTTCCTTGAATGTTTGAAGGAGTTAAACATGCACAGATTGAATTTGTCTGTTGAGAAAATCTTTAAGGCAGAGAGAGGCAGAGTGTCAAGCTGGGTTGTATCTTTGTATTAAAAAAATAAACACCCCCCATAACCCCCCTTAGATTTTTCCAGTTGAGACAAAAGAAATCTTTGGGTGGAAAGGCAGCATCATATTGCATAATAACAGCCTTTTTATGCTGTAATAAAAAGGGTTGCTTAGGGCAACTTTGTTTAAAAAAAAAAAAATTAAAGGAAAAAAAGTCAGTGATGATACTGGTATGAAGGGGACAAGGAATCCTTAACTTCTGTTGTGCAACACTGGGAAAAGAGGCTAGAAATGGCTTTAGTTATCTACAATCTTAATGCCTAGTTTAAACGTTCTTTACTGCATATTTGCTGACAGCTGTTTTCAATATATCCCTCTCTAGCTAAGTCACCAGTTAAGAATTTGACATTAGGATGTTTTTTTCAACCACCATCTTGAAGTACCATACCACACAACACAGCCTTGTTCCCTAGTTAGATATTGTTCATGTGCCTTGAAATTGCTGTTGACACCTCAAGTATTTAACTTGCCGATCTGAGATAATTTTTGTTGGGTGTGGATGTGTGCCATAATAAGATAGAGACAAAAGTATCCATGTCTGCATTCCTCCAGTACATCTGTTCACTTTATTTTTTGCAACATTCCAGAAAATTAAGTTAAATCATGCATCTCAATGAATGTTTTTAATTTCGCTAGTTCTATTTTAATTGCCTGCCCTTAAAGTATAAGCACACTGAGCGCACAATTATGTTCCACTTTCTTTGCATTGTTTGCCTTTTTCTTTAAGACATCATCAATAGTAGATTTAACTGCATCTTGAGTAATGATCCTAGAAGCACATTTTTCTACATTTTCCTGATTCTCCCCTCAGTAGTTTAAGTTTCTTTAGTGCTTTATATTCTGAAAAAGTAACGTAATTAACATTTTGGGAATTAAGAGTTGTGCTCTGCAATATATTTCTGATATGTTCTTTGTCAATGTCCTTTTCTTCCCCTCACTTTCCCAAGTCTGTAAAATAAAGCTAATATTCATACACTGATCATTCTCACAGTAATTTCTGAGGTATAATCTGTTGAAGTTTATAAAGCATTTAACCATATCACTTTTCATCAAAGGCTTTCTGATGATAGAGTTTGAATTGTACTGTACCACTGGAAAAGTAACCATAAGCACAGGGTATCATCATCTTTGCTGCAGCTTTAATTCTTAGCAAAAAATAAAACAATGGAGTTAAAGAATTAGCAGGGTTTAATCACTGTTTCACTTGGAGGCACAGATGGGACAGAGCATTACTTGGCAACATTTAATCTTGGAGCAGAAATTGTCATGATTAAAGCAGCAGCTGGAGTAGATTGCTAGGGATGAGGGGGTGTCATTTATCTTAAAGGGATCAAAATTGTTGGGCTTCGGGAGAAAGCAAGAAGCTACAAAAGAAAAATCTGGAATATAGGCCAAGGCTTATTATTTCTAGGGTCTCATCTGCTGATTAAAGTGATGTTTTCAATTCTTTCCCCAGAATTATTTTGGGAGCGAAGAGAGTGTCAAGTGATCTGACTACTGCTGAAGAGGAGACTGAAGCCATCTCTGAGTGGAGATTTTGGACTTGCGGGAGGACGGCTGTGTGTGTCCCCTCCATGTGGCAGAACTGCTCCTCCTTACCAAGGAAGTCAAAGTGAAGGAAATAGGTACGTGCCACTTCATATAGGATTTCATAAGAGTCATGTTCCAGGCCATTTAACAGGGCCTGAATTCCTAGTTTGGTGAGGCAGCCTGGAACGAGATTAATTTTAACTTTCATTAACTTTTGCAGAAGGATTCTGTCCGCCTGATGTTTCCAGGCCTTGTGACAGGGATAGACTCCTGCGGCAGGCTGGCCTGAGGGGGCAGAGTGGGTGGTTGTGAAGACAGAACAAAGCAGACCCCTCAGGTCTACTGACCTCTGCAGCCCATCCCTGGTTCTGCAGTGGAACAGGCTGTTAGGAGCAAGTTACCTTTTGCTAGGTACAGTGTTACACAGAAAAAAGGTGGCAAAATTAAGTGCTAGAATACCAGTGTGTGTTCTGCTGTCAGGGCAGAGGCACAGCTTAGCTGATAGGTAAAGCCTACTCTCTATTCTGAACCTCTTCTAACTCAAAGGTAGCCCTGCTTTTAGTTAAATGTCTCAGAGGTATCATTAGTTTTGGATTTTTCAACCCATGAAAGGACAATGGGCATGAGTTCTCATGACAAATTCCTAACTTCACCAGGAGACTGAGCGAAGTGTAATTGCTGTTGCTCACTGACTTAATCTTTACTTGGGATGTGCTTGGCATTGGCTCTGTGTTTTTCTTTCATTGGCACACTGTTTTTTCCTTCCACTCAGATCTTTTTCTGTTCCTTAGATCAGATAGCTCTTTTTTGCATGCATTCAGCTGACAACTTCAGATGTGTGAGGGTTTGGTTGCCTTTGTATAGCAGGAAGTTAAGAGTCCTCGCCTGCACCAGTATGTAGTGATTTCTGCAGCAGGGAGACTAAGTGCTGATCTCACCCTAGGTATGTCATAACTCTAAAAAACCTGCTGGCTAACAAGGTGTTCATTAATTGCTTTAAACAATCTAAGCTAGAGATTTATTTTGAGCTATATATTGTCTCAATGGGCCTTTTTCTTTTCCTTTTTATTTTTCTTCCTGAAAATGGACAAATTGCTGATTTCACCCTTTAATCCTTGTCTGCCTGGCAGTATGGAAAGTGTATTTCACTATTGGTAGTCTTACGTGTAAAGCAAACAGGTCCTAGGCATTTTTACCATCATCCTGTGAATCACAGGTCTCCTTTCTGCCTGAAAGCAGACTTGCTGTCTGAGGTATTCTGCATGCTTTCAGTCGATTGATATTCCTATAAGCTTGCAAGTCACCTTTCATCACCTTTCCAGGCTTTGCCCCCTGGCATGCAAGTCCTTCTTGGGTCAAGGGTCTTAATGACCCCTATTGTTATGGGAATCTTTGGTAATCTAACCTGCTTTTTTTTCTGTATTTCAAGCCATTGCTCTTAAATGTCTCCTGCTTGATCTACTCAGGCGCTAATAACCGTGTCTCCTTTCCTTAGGTCAAGGGCAGATTTTACATTCCACCCAAAAGGCACCACAGTTTGAGATGAGGAATTCAGAAGAGCAAGCAGCTACGACTGTTTTACAGCGCCTGCTGCAGGAGCAGCTCAGATACGGAAACCCAAATGACAACCGTAACCTTCTTGCCTTACACCAGCAAGCCACAGGAAATGCCCCCCCTTTCAACAGCACCGGGAGTCCAGCATCTCAGAACGAAGGGCTGAGCTCCCAGGACCACCAGCTTGTGACTCATGCTGCCCGTCAGGAGCCCCAGGGCCAGGAGATACAGGTGGACAACAGCATCATGGAGAAGCAGCTCTCTCCGCGACTCCAGAACAGTGAGGATCTCCCGACCTACGAGGAAGCCAAAGTCCAGTCACAGTATTTCAGGGGCCAGCCGCATGCTAGTGTTGGGGCAGCCTTTTATGTAACGGGGGTCACCAACCAGAAGATGAGGACTGAAGGGCGGCCCACGGTTCAGCGGGTGAGCCCAGGGAAGGTCCACCAGGATGAAGGACTTAAGGACCTCAAGCAAGGGCACGTCCGCTCCTTGAGCGAGAGGCTGATGCAGCTGTCCTTGGCCACCAGCGGTGTCAAGGCCCACGCGCCGGTGACGAGCGCACCGCTCTCCCCCCTCTCTCCGCTTTCTCCTCAGCAGTCCAGTGACCCTTATAAAAATTCTGGCTCCAATGAGTTCTACAAGAACTCAGTGCAGCCCCCTTCCCAGCCCAACATGAAAGGAATGGAGCAGCGGGGTCCTCCTCCAGAGTATCCTTACAAAAATGTGTCCACCCCATCTATGAACTGCAAACCTCAGGACTCGGGACATTTCTACAGCGATCACCGCATGAGCCAGCAGGGAAGGTCTGATGGGCCCATGATGAGGTATCAACATCCCCCTGAGTACGGGTCAGTCAGGTAAGCAAGGTCTTAATGCCAACTCCATGACAGCCACATCAGGAAAGACAGTAGAGAGCTCAGTCCACTGCTCTCACTCTTGAGGCACATTTTGTTTTACCGAAGATCTCATTTTTATTGTATGAGATGACATACTGTGTTCAGCTACAGGCTGTGTCTGGAAGGACTGTAGTCTGTTTCAGTAGCTTACCTAGAGGCCTGATTCAAAAAAAACAACAACAAAACAGAAATGAAAAAAGAACCACCAAACAAGCCAGCTTTATTTTATGGCATGGGGAAGTTTAATACTGAGGCTCTAGAGTCTTAAAAAAGGTTTGCTACAAAAGCCAAAGTTATGGAGTAATTCATTGTAGAAACTTGCAGCTACTTACTGCAAGACTTAAGTTGTTCTTTAATTGCATCTGCCCAGACAACAGATTTTTTTTTTTTTTTTTTCCAAGATTTAAATGGCCTCTAAAAGCTACATAGGAAAAGAGAAAGTGAATAAAAGCAGTAATATTTCAGGTAACAAAAATCACCCAAGCTTCGTCTAGACTTTTTCAAATCTTGTTTTCAGTGGATCCAAAGTGTAGGAGTGGAAAATGAAGCATGCTTTGTGCCTCATCCCAGACTTGCTTGTTTAGCATTTGCTAATTTTCCTTGCATCATTTGAAATCTCAGCCTGTTCTGGTTTCCTCTAGATAAAGAGTTAGATTTGGTTTGAGCCGAACACTGATGTCTGTGTGGGTGAAGGTGAAGCTAAAAAATGGTGGGCTAAAAATATGGCTTTATTTCACCTGTTTCCTTACCGTCTTATTTTTGTCCAAGATCAGGTGAGGTTAGCTGTAAGGATTTTGGCCTAGGTTTGAAGCTACAAGGGTAATATAAAGGAACAACAGGAGGAGGGTGTTGCTACAGAAGTGAATGGTGAGATCTCTGTGTTTGTGTTTGCACATCTTGTGTTGTGTTTTTAGGGGAGCATGAAGAAGTAACTGATTGGTATTTGGGAGCAGGGGTTGAGCTTTGGGGAATTTGAATCTGCTCAGAACCTTCCTTGTCCTATGGGGAGCTATTTTCAGAGTTTGTCCACCATTGTTTGTGATCCGAAATGACTTCAGCAGCATACAAGCCTGATGAAAAGGCCCTTTGATCTGGCTAAATAAATAATAAAGAGGCCAGGAAGAGGGGAAGTAAAGGGTTTAGGGGGGGTAATGATTGTAGAAGCTCATTGCAAATGTTTTTGAAAATTCAAAGGCCTCCAATCTCTATGCACACAGGAAAGGGAAGCAGATCCTTGATGGTCATGCTGCATCAGAAATACTCAGAATGTTATAGATAGGGAATCTGAGACGTAACCTACTTGGTGTTTAAAGGAGAGGTATTTGAAAACACGCCAACAGTCAGCTCCTCTAGACAGGGTGATTTTTGTCTGTATTGGATGGATCCTGGCTGCTTTGAAAGAACATGGAGGGGGGAAGGGGAGGGAGGAGAAAGGTTTAGCTGGCAAGGTTTCTAGTAGGGGAAGCAACTGAAATTTCTCTTCAAAGCGTTGGGAATCTAATGAGGTTACTTTTTAACCTAAATAGCTGCACAGAGGAAAAGTTTCCTTTGCAAGCAAATGCTTAAGCAGTAGAACAATTGCAAGACTAATCCATAAATTACAGAGCAGCCTTGCAAAGGAAGGGAGCAAGTCCTCTATTCCCCTCCCTCTCCCACACATTTTAAGAGAAACTGTCATTTAGACAAGAAAGCTGTGCAGCTGGGTAGTGGTGTGAGGATTTTAAAGGCATACAACTTTCAGGAGTGCATTTGCCTCGCACCAGGCAGTGCTAACGAGTCTTTGCAGCCTCACTGGAGTGATAAAGTATTTTCAGAGGCTCTGGTTGTCCTGCGCTGCAGCTCTGTGTTTATCGGGATTCATTTGGATTGGTAAACGTGTGCATTTTTTGAACCCTGCGTCAAGGAAACAAAGCCCCTTCGTTCTGCTCGTGAAGCCACACCCTTTTCTGCGGGTTTTTCCCCTCATTGTTCGGGGGAATTTGAGGGTGACCTAACGATGCGGTTAAATAAAACTCGTTGAGCAAGATAAACATTGGGGAATTCACAGCATTCTCATGCTTCACCCTCCCCAGTCTGGGAAAGGAATGGACTGTGTGGTAAGTTCAAACCAGTCTGCAAACAGTTTGCCTCACCTGCTCTTGGGTGGTGTAAATTTGGGAACACATATGTGTTTGTAAGGATGTTGGTTTAATGTAAATGCTGGGTATGCCAGAGGCATCTGAGCTGTTATTTGGAAATTGTAAAGTTCAAAAGAGGGCAGGCTGCATGTGAAGCTCCAAAATCCTATTATCTCCCTAATGTCTCAACCTCACTTTAGCATTGGTGATGAAAACAAACCTTCAGGTCTAAAAGGAGAGTTGGGCTCAGTGTCGTGTGGGTTTTGCAAGGTCTGTGGCAGAAGAGCAAGAGATGGGGGAGAAGGGCTTGTGCTGGTACAGTTTTGGGAGCAGAGGAAGCTCGCAGTCTTCTGTTCAGAGCCCAAATGCCTGGGCTCCTGCTGTGGTGTTTAATCCCATTGACTTCACAGAAACTTTCTGAGAAGGAGGTCTGCAGAATTTGTCCCATAATTAGTAAATCACTTCTGTGCACTGTGTTCCCCTGAGCAGCATCAAAGTGGGGGATAATCAGGTATTACCAGGAAGCAGAACAAAAATGCATGGGTTTGATTTCGGCTGTCTGATTGAGTGGAGTCTGCTCCCTCCTGCAGTCAGTTTGTGCAGGAGGGCTGTGGAAGAGAGGGGTACTGCAGCTTCTTGAATATGAAGCAGGCAGGAGAAGCTGGGAAGGCAGAAAAAATTTTAACGAGGCAGAGACCTTTCCTGATCTCTTCATTCTCCTGCCCTCCCCACTTTGTTGCTCTACCCTCCAATCTTCTGTGTGACTTGATGTCTGCAATCCTTGCAGCCTCAGGACTCCTGATGGCTCGATTTTCATGCAGAGCTGCCCTTACTCCATATCTCTTGTCTTCATGATTTAAAAACTAATGTGACCCTTGTAGTTGCAGAACCATAAATCCAGGTTTGTACTTGGCTTGTGTGTTGTGTTTCTCCGATATGCGCCAGGAACTGTAAGAGAAGCAGAGATTCTTGTGTGATACAGTCTTCAAAATTAAGTGTCCCTTAGAGTTATGCTTTCAAACTTAAACACTTGTTGGAATTATTGCTCTGAATGTTCTTCCTGTGTTTGGGCTTTTTGGGTCTTTATGACACTGAGACAAATGGAAGGAGATTGTGTAATTTTGTTTTCCATGTATTTTGAGAGCCCTTCTGCATTTTTTCATGAAGTGGTTCATTCTGTCATAGTTTTATTAAGATTGCAGGGTTACCTAAGGCCTGGCTCTCTCGTGGAGGGAAGCTTCTACTGCCATTCTATTAGCAGTTCTGTTAGGTGACCACAGTAGCAATTTTTCCCTTAAAATTTTGCAGTCTGGCTTAAAAATCTTTAAAAGTCCAGTTGTGTTCATTTACCGTTCTGTATCTCTTGATTCAAAACTTGCTTACCAGAGAAATTCTGCAATGCTCATGTTAATCTGAGGGATCGCAGAGCCAGGTATTTTGAACCCACAAAATATATACAAGTATTTTATAAGACAGAATTGAATGTAGTGGGAATGCTAAAAAGTTATTTGAACATGTATGTAAAAGTTTGCATATAGGATATTGAAAGGTCTAGTTACTGCTATGAGGTTACTAGGATTTAAAAAAAATAATATTAAAAGATAGGTTGTATTGCCCCAGTTGTGTTACCTATCTTTACTAGGAGTATAAACACATTTGTGACATTTTGGAAGCTCAAATGCTGTCGGCATTGCAACAGAACTAGCTTGAACCCAGAAGATTGGTATAATTTCAAGACCATAAGAGGCTTTGGATATGAGTGCCAAGATGCTGGAAATCTTGGAAATGTATCTTGTTTAGAAATACTCAGCCATGATTTCCTAGAGTTGTTCTTCATAATAGGTTTTAAAAAAAGTTATTACCAGGCATGTCAACACAAAGACTGTCCTTTCAGAATTTAGCTGCGGCTGTTGTTTTTCTTTGGCAATCTTTGTGTTCCTTTTGTGTTCCTTTTATTAGTGCTTAGGTCCTGCAGAAATGGCAAGATTCTGCCCATCTGTCTCTGATGGCAGAATAGTGAGATGCTTAAAGTCAAATAGCTCAAATTGTTAACATTGACATCTAAATAGTCCTCATTAGGCTTATAATATTCAGACACTGAGTTCAACAAAGTCACTTTCTATGAGTAGCTGCTTCAGATTGTTTTCAGACTCAAAGACAGTATTCTGTAGGTTCAGAATTGGAAAGGGTTTTTCTGCATCCATGAGGCAGACAGGCATTATATCTCTTTTGAGCTAACCTCTGTAGGTTGTCATAGCTTAAATGTCACAGCAAGGTTAAAACAGAGGGGTGTGACTTTAAGTAAAGAATAAGCTCAAGGAGATGAGTGGCTTCTGAAGATGCAAAGTTTTAAGTCTGCACATAACTGGGTGAGCTAAGAAAGGAACTGGAAACCACCTGAGACAAACCAGATGACCTTCAGCGTGGCATGTGACAGTTATGCCTCATTCTTCATTATGAGAACTGGCACATAAAGGTAGTGAAATAAATGCAATAGTAAGTAGAGCTGACTTCCCAAGAGGGGAAAGAAAGAACCAAATTGCTGCTATGAAACTCAACATTCCTGAGGATATTAATTGCACATCTCTGTTCTGCATGACCCATGAGATCCTCACACCCTCACATGAGATATGATAATTTTGGGGGAGATTCAGCTCCTGAATGTTGTTGCTGACAGACACCACAGCCACTTGAGTGTGAGAAAGAGAGAAATGGTAACTAGAGCAGTAATTGTTAGTTTTTTCCCCAAGTGACAGGGGCTAGATTTTTTTCACTATTGAGGAATTTAAGCATCAGCTTGAAGGTTTCTATGCACCTCTCTGCTGGAAAGCAGAAAAATAAGACATGAGTTGCATGATATTGAAATCATGAAGCCTGTGCTGGGCTGCGAATTTCGGAACTGCTCCGTGTGCTGCCAGCCAGATGTGAGTAATGCAGACATTTCCTCTCTGGACATATGTAGGGTTGATGCATTCTTTCAGCAGAGAACAGGAAGGATGATGCTGAGTGTTTGCACATTGGCTGAGAAGCCTGTTGTGTAACCCTTTAGCTCCCAGTTCAGCTTTGTGCTTGCTGCTGTCAGCGGACATGGCACTAACCTCCTGGTGTGGTGGAAGAGCTACTCTGTGGGCTGTCTTCTACATCCAGTACCTCTCTGCAGAGCATGAGTGCAGGGTCCTTCCTAGGAATGCAGACAGCCATGGGGATATGGCCAGGTGGAACAACAGTCTGTGCTTTTCCAGCTGCAAGGTTGAACTGCATCCCAAAGGGTGGGAAATTTTATCAGAGGAACATGAGTGTTTCAGAACATGTTGAACTGCCAGACTAGGTCTGCACCAGGCTGAGGTCTGTGCTTAAGAGACTGGCTGCAGCATGGTAAGGGAGAGACTTCAACTGTTAAAGAACATCCAGAGAAGTTAAAGGTTATGGAATGCCTTTGGAGGAGGAAGGAAAGCCCTCCTTCTGAGGTCATCCAAGCATCATAAATCCACACAATCTCCTAAGAGAGATTTCTTACTTGACGAGTGCTGCAGAAGTTGAGCTGGAGATTGCTAGTGCCTGGGAAATGTGAGCTGGTGTAGCTTGGAGTTAGTTCTAGAATAGATTTCAAGCATGTTACAGATTACTAGATCTATTTTGATGGCCTATACAGTTTATTGTTAGGAGCAGTAAATGTACCTACTGCATAGAAACACCCTCAGTTCTGAATCAAAAGGCTGCTTCTGATTCTTAGGTTGGTTTTAATGTCGTTTCACTGTCTCATTTGACCAAACTGCAGCTTGTTGGTTGATGTTTCAGGAAGCTTGAATCAGTGATGCTGGCATACTAACATTGAGCCTAGCCAGTCCCTTTAACTCTGTATCCTGAATTGCCAAACAAAATCCATTATTTTCTCCATGCAAGATGGCACATTTCAGGACAGAAGATGAGGACCCATGCCTGACAGTTCTCAATTTAGTCATTTTATCCATAAAGTGCAGAGAAAAGTTTTAAAAATAATTTTGCCCAGTAGTTGTTGTTGGAGTTTCTGTTTGTTTCTGCATGAAATAGGCTCAAGAAGAAAGACCTTCATGCCCCTTGAGAGTATTTATGGCTGATGATTTGATTTTGAAGCCTTTTTTTAAAAACAAACTTATAAAAATGAGGAAGACCTCATTTAAGAGTCTTTTGTGTAGAAGACCTTTGCACAGGAGCTACACAGGTCATCCCTTGTCACAGGGTTTGTGCACCATCTTCTGCGTGACATTGATGGAGCTCCTGTTCTCTGTTTTCCAGGCAAAACCCAGATGTGCAGCTGCAGTTACAACAGAGGCCTCCTCACCATCACAGCCCAACTTCTTCCTTGACATCCCTGGGATCTTTGACTCTGCTTCAGTCTCCACCACCATCCAGGCTGTCCCCTTCCCAGCATCAGCAACCTCTGACTCCAAGCCAGGGAGATCCTGGCATTCTGCCACGGACCCAGCAGCCGTTCTTGCCAAACCAGGTCCATCAGGGAGATCTGTACCGACTATGCCAGCCCTTCCTAGGCCCCCAGCAGCAGCAAGGCGATTCCTACGCAGTCATGTCCCGGGCTCAGCAGATACCCTCTCCATATCAACAAATGCAAGTAGATCCTTTTGCCATCGTTTCCAGGGCCCAGCAGATGGTGGAAATCCTGTCAGAAGAGAACCGATCTTTACGACAGGAGCTGGATGGGTGTTATGAGAAAGTAGCCCGGCTGCAGAAGGTGGGTGTATTTGGGTATCAGGCACTCTCTTGTGTCTAGAATGATCATAATTGAATCATCTAATCTGCAATTGTTACATTCCTTGCTTAAGGGACTGATTATCCACTCTTGAGTCTTTTACATGCAGATTGATTAGTCTGTATCCTGTGCCTTTGGGCAGCAGCTTAACTTTGTCAGAAGATAGAATCAAAGCCTTCAGTTTTATTCTAACAGCTTATTGACTGTGCTCAAAAGAGCATCTTCATCAGCTGTCTTGAAGAGGCTGACTGCTTGGCTCACTTGGTTAAATTAAAACTAGTGTTCTTATGGTCAGATGAGCAGCAGCTTTCAATTTCCCATCAGTCTAAAAGACCTTAGAGGCTGCAGGAAGGCCCTGTTTGGAATGATATGAGGCCATAGTCACTCAAGAAGACAACAGGACGTTGCTACAAAACAGTGTGCAAGACAAGTGCTGCTGCTATGGCTACATTAAAGACATTTGGACTGCAGGACTGAAACTAGCACTTCTTTTGTCACTCCCTCAATACTACACAACTTCCATGAAAACTTACTATCTTGTTTTGGATCAAGCCATTTGCCATCTTTGCCTTTGTGAAACAAGTAGAGTAAGTGATACCAAAATGTTTTTAAAAAATAATTATCCCAGTGAGAGCCATCATTAACTGGCATATGTAGAGGCATTTCCATTGCAGCCTCACAGAGTTAACTTCTTGATGACCGGTGGTTTAAAGCTGTGCAGCAGGTCAGCTTTGTTTTTGCCTTGCAGCTGTGAAAAGGCTGATGCTACTTGGAATTTTGGACTTTGTGGGCCTTGCTGTGCTCTTTGCACTGAGCTGTCTCCAGGGCCATAAAAATGTGTGGCTGCTTAAAACACTTATGTGAGTTCAGATGACCAGTGTGGCTTCTCACACTCATTCATTCCCTGTATTACCTCTTTCCAGGGACATGTTGGCTTTGTGGTATTTTTTTTGGAAGGTTCCTGGCCAGGAAATGCTTTAGAGAAGTGATTGGCAGCTTCCTGATAATGAAAGAAGGATAAAAATGCACTTCCCTCCACCCCCTGTTGATCACTGGCTGTAGACAGTGCTGATGGGGTTTGCTGTCGTGTGGTTCCATACTTCCATAGCAATGCAAACCCATGCCTGGTAAGGAGAGCAAGAAGTGAATCTCATTCTGCTCTGGGTGATCAGAGAAGCTTTATACTGAAGGGTAGAAGGAAAAGAACAACACATTTTACTGCAAATGTTTATCTTCCTCCATTTAGTAAATTGAATATGTAAAAGCACAATGAAGTTGTTGAAGTGTAAACATAGAACATCAGGAGGTTTTGTTGTGAATTTTGGACCATAAAAATGACACATATGCAGAGTTCATCAGTAATGCAGGATCTGCTACTAGCATTTTTTTAGCATATTTTTGTCCTCCTTGTTATGTTTTACTTGCTCAACTTGATAACACATTAGCTATTTATATCAATGCTTTCTGCCTAAAGTATCAGTAGTGCTAAAATGCCCCAGTCTTAGGAAATAAAAGATAACACTTACACTTCTTTAATTTGCTATATCTGTGGTTTGATCATATTGGGGAAACAGAGCTAGAGTCTGGAAGGAGAGTCCAGAGCTTTGTTTTAGCCATTGATGTTCTTCATACAGAAGGATCCATCACAAACATGAGACTCTGTCATTTTACTTAATACATAGATGTAGATTTATTTTGTAAAGAAGACTTGAGACAACGTAATTTCCCTTCTGAGACCAAATAAAAAGAATCGTTGGTGATAAAATAATAAGTGCTTGTTTTCACTTCCACTGCAGCTGGAAACAGAAATTCAGCAAGTTTCAGAGGCGTACAAAAACCTGGAGAAATCATCCTCTAAGCGGGATGCCCTGGAAAAGGCCATGAGAAACAAGCTGGAAGGAGAAATTCGTAGGCTTCATGATTTCAACAGGGATCTAAGAGGTGAATGAAGTAAAACTCTTCTTCAATGCTGATGTTTTTCTAATGTACTTACTTGGCAGGACAGTGTTTTGTTGTAGAACTCGCTGTCTGTTGGCTCAACTAGAGTACAACAGGTATGTTCAGTAGTCTGAGATCTTAAGTGCTTGCTGGGAGTACAGATAAGACAGGTTTAGGAGAGTGCTGTAGTGTCTCATTTCAAGCCTGTTTCTCATTGAGAAGAAACATAGGATAAGCCAAGTACCATAAACCAGATGCAAACTTGGAATTCTCTCTTGTCTTATATCCTAGACTCAATTTATACAATTTGTTCAGTTTATACAAATGGAAAGATGTTTTGCTGACTGGCTAATCCCACACCAGGCATGTTAACTTTCTTTCCTGTCCGGTGACCCTTCTGCACTGACATACAAACTGCAGACTGTCTATTCTTCCTGAATGTCTTGTCATTCCTTATCAATATAGGCATCTGGTTTTTTGGATCTCACTTCCTTTTCCAGAGAGAGATGTTATTAGTGTCTGGTTCTTGTTAAGAGGCTGAGGCAGTATGATGGCTGGCAGTGGAGAGTGATGTTGAATGGTATTTGAACTTAGCATGGGTCAAAGTTTAAGCATTAGTATGAAAGGCAGAAAAAAAGCTGCAATTTCAGATGTTTAAAGGTGCACAGTCAGTCTTTGAAGCTGTAAGTTTCATTTTTTTGATGAAAGGCACCTGATTGTCCTGTATATCATTTCTTTCACTGCTCCTAGTCTCTTGCTGTGTTCCCAGAAATTGTTTTGCATCCAAGAAGTAGGTCCATACAGTGCCCACTGCTATCAAGGACAGTACACAAAGGCCTGCATTAAATAATCTTAGTCATCATAAAACACAGCATAAACATTTAATTCTTATTTTCAAAGGCTGCTATAAATTTCTAATAGCCTGCAGCAGCAGAACTGAAACTGTCCTTAGGGTTTTACACTTTTTCCTAAAGTCAGGTAGTTGGCAAACAGAGATTTAATCATCTAACTATTAAGATTTAGTGAAGAATTAAAAGGGATTCTTTTAATTGCATGGTAAGATTTATTCAAGTGGAAAAAAAGGTGTCAACATTTGTAAAAATTGAAAAACAATCTTCTGTGTTATAATTGTTCAAAGTAATTTATTTGAAACTTTATTTAACCTGTTTTGTCTGATTGAGAATATTTTCTCAAGAACACAATTAGGTATGTTCCCAAAGTGACTGCCAGCTTCTCATAGGCTTTTTACTTTTGACTGCATAGAATTCAGAGATCCATTCCCCTGGCTTGCATTAGCAATGTCCTGAGCAGATGTGATTTAGTGCTTTAAAGTTTTTAATTATTTATTGTTTCTTTTATTGAAAAATTTTGCAGAACGTATGGAGACAGCCAACAAGCAGCTTGCCGAGAAGGAATTTGAGGGGTCTGAAGACAATCGCAAAACCATCTCTCAGCTCTTTGCACAAAGTGAGTCATTCAGTCCTTTGGGTCGCTAGGAATGCTCTGCACCTCCTGGGAAGGGTAACACTGCAGCAGGGCAGCATAGTTCAGTTCTGGGGATTTTCTACTGGGGCAGAAATCAGGACAGTGATGGTCCAAAGATGTCAGTGGAGAAAGGAGTAAGGATACAAGAATTCCTTTTCTGTCAGTATGTAAAGCGCATCTGATGGTATTTATTAGAGATTTTGGAGCAAATGCAGTTCCAGTTAAACTATAAAATTATTGTTTACTCCATAACAGAAAGGATAATTTGTCTACCTATTTTGTCCGCCAAAACCTTTCCAGGCTGATGAGAGTCCTGGCATGAGTTAAGGCCAGTGGGAGTGGAACCTGGTGGATCTCTTATCTCTTTCCTCTTTAATTTGTCACTGCCTTATCCAGTTCAGCAAAAATAAAGGGGATGAACACTGCCTGCATATTGCTGGGCTGGGTAAGGGTCATGAATTCTGTCCACAGCAGTGGGTTTATCACAAGGCAAACCAAAATGACAGATGTGAAATGCTGCTTTTCCTTTGTACTGAAATATCTTGAGGCCGGTGGCAGCGAGCCAACTTTTCTCTCATCCCATAGTGTACTCCACCCTTCTGACAATGCTCACTTTTCTCCAATTGTTATTTAAAAAGGTAATGCAATAAAATTGCAAAATACAGATTTTCTATGGTGTAACATACACTGCTGCTCCTCTGACAAATGCTGGTATCCCTCTCTTGTGTTGCCTTTAGCTTATTCCTTGCAGCTGATGTTGCATGCAGATGGTTGTCAGGGTGTGGATTCAAAACTCCTGGTGGTAGTGGAAAGTTTGTGAGTTTAGTCTCACATTCGGACTGCTTCAGTGGACTTGGAAGTTCAAAGATTCACCCAGAGAGGTGGGAAGGTCAAGGCTCTGAGGTCTCGGACTCAGTTTCTTCTTTTGGGTGAACATGGAAAGCAGAGTGCTACATTTCTTCAGTCCTAGCATTTCTAGGGCTGCTGTAGGCCCTTGTCAAGTGAAGCAGTACCAATCTGGGAAAAAGTCTGGAACAAAACCTCTAAAAGCCTTGCTGCAGGCACTTACAGATTAACAGACTGCTGGCACTGATTGATACCTGCTGGCATAATGCCACCCTGTCTCTGCCCATTTTCTGCAATACATTTTACCATGCTGACACTGCCAGCAACTCACTTCTTGGTTGGAGGAGAAATACTGGGATGAGAGAGATGGGTAAAAGAGAAGACAAGTGGTGACATTAGCCTTTGTCTTTGTGTCACGGGCTAGCTCTGAGTTGCAGTTAGGGTTTGCTCTGCAGAGTTCTGGGTGCTGTTGGAGGACAGGTTTTGTTTTGCAACCTGTGTGTGGGCTGTGTTGATTCCTAACAGAAGGGAATCTTTAGCTACTCTGTTGCCAAAGCTTTGCTCCTGGCTCTCTGCTGGCAGAAGAAAGGGAATAATTGTGGTCCTGTAAATATAGTTATGCACATGCTTGCACAAACGGGCCTGTGTATTCCATATGCAGTCTGTCCTAACACCCAGGATCTAGTTCCTGTTTTTCAAGCCTTCCACTCCTTGTCCTCATTCCTTTGTCGTGGGATATTGGTTTCTGGAATGCAGTTTCTCTGGTGTCATCAGTGCTGTGTGTAGATCACTCCAGGGAGTATTGTGTGGTTATGTACCCAGCAAGAGTGTTAATGCTATCATTGTAGCTGGTTGACTTGAGCTGGCAATGACAGCATATACAGAGGACATCAGCTCTGTGTTGTGGCTTTGCTTTACACCCTTGTGTGATAATTTCTCCAGTCCCTGGTTATTTTATCCCATTTATTTTTTATTAAGGCAGTTGTCCTGTTCCTGAAACACACAACATAGCTGCTCCCTCCAGGGCCAGCTCCTTCTGGAGAGCAGCAGGAAAGGACCAGCTGCTGTGCTTGGGGAGGCTTTAAAGCATCAGACATGAACTCTCAATGCTGACCAAAAGGCTTTCTTGAGCTGCTTTGAGCAGTGACAGAACAGCTACTTGTGCCTCAGTTCTGGCCTAGAGGGTTCTTTTAAGGGCAGTAGAGGACAACCAAAGAATTTTCATTTCTCACTTGTTCTCTGACTCCTCTGGTGGTACTGCAAGCAAAGTGGGACAACTGGATGTTACTTAGAGAAGGAGGACAGCTGCCCCAGGCAGAACAGCCTTCCTCTTTATGAGGTCAGTGTGGAAAAAAAGGACCATAAGATTTTCAGGCACAAAAGTCTGCCATCTCCTCTCTCCAGCCTGGGATATCATAATTACCCAGTTTGTTTTCCACTGCTGAAAGCTCAGAGGTAAAGAGGTGCCAAGTTTCACTAACCATCTGCATAATCAGAGCAAATTACCTAACTGTACTTAGTGATACACCTTCTATTCCTTCTCACTAGCATTATGGCACATTGTTATTTGAAGATACCATGCTTGTTTTTCAGGGTTATGTGTCCTTCTCTTCCTTGAAAGCAGTGTACTTTTTTTTCCCCTCCCTTAGCATTAGATTTGCATTCTCTCTCTTGTGAGAAGTTCCAGTACAATCTTTCCTTCACCTCTGGAGTGAAAGACCTCCTGGAAGCTGAGTAGAGATGAGTGCTGGTCTGTTGATAAGCCTCACTTTGTTTTGTTAGACAAGGAAACACAGCGGGAAAAAGAGAAACTGGAAATAGAACTGGCTGCTGCACGCTCCACCAATGAGGACCAACGGAGACACATTGAGATCCGAGACCAGGCTTTGAACAATGCTCAGGCCAAGGTGGTGAAACTGGAGGAGGAGGTAAGGATGCTGGGAGGTAAGATGATGCTGAGGAAGTAAGATTGCTGTAGCTGGGAGAGAGAAATTAGGGTAGCTTGGCTTCCAGTAAAAGTGACTGTGGGAATGAGTTTGTCTGGTACAGATTATAAGGAAATCTGCTTGCTTCAAAGCTGTTTATATCGGCTTAGCTTTGTGTTTGTTTGCTAAACCACTCAACTGTGCACAGATAAGCCACAAATCTGTATTTCCTTGGAAGTGCTTTTGTCTAAGCAGCCATCTTTCATTTTCTTTTTGTTTCAACTGGTAAAAGTGGACTGCAACTGAAATCCCAGCCCTGGCAACCTCCTGAACTTGGCAGAAGTTCAGATCTGGATGGACTTTTAACTAATATCAAATGAATGCAGCTTGTCCTCTTGCCAGGTGTTCCACTTACACCAGGGTATCGTGGTGCACAGTGCAGATCATCGTATGTGCCCAGTGTTTGTAATAAGCTGGGCATGACCTTGGTGGTTTTCTTTCCTTTTCCTCCCAAGAGGGGATAATGCATTTGAGCTGCTTAGCTGGGCAGCTTTCACAGCAGTTTCTTTGGTAGCCTTGTCCCTGCCACTCACACATGGCTCTCACCTTGCTGCCCTTCTGCGTCATAGTGTCCGTCCTCTTTCTTCCCGCCTACTCCTTTCCTCTCAAAGGCTCCATTTCCCACTCCCAGCCTCAACTTCCTTTACTCCTACTCTTCCTCCATAGAGAGCCTCTGGAGGAAATCTCATGACCAAGTGCATTTTCTCCACTGCAGGTTTCTTCTCTCCTTCAGTTCTGACAACTTCCCTCCTGGACCTGCTCATTCAGGACATTGTTGCAGGGTAGCCTACCATCATACCTTAGCCTTTCTCCCCACTGCTCTGCCTTGCTTTCCTTTCTCCACCACACCAATTTCAGGTAGTTCTTTGTTTTCCAGACCTCTCATGATTTACCCAACCCTATTTCTTTTCTCCCTTGTTGCTGAGAGGATGTCTTTCTCAGTTTCCAACAACCCCTTCTTCCCTACCCCAAAAAAGCACTTCTGTGTTTTCTCCCAGACTGTCCTCGCCTTCACTGCAAACACTGGCAAGGCCACTTTGAAGCCTCCCTTGCTGTGGTGCTCGCAACATGGTTGTCAGGGGTGAGGCCACAGTTCATGCTAACTCAGAGACTGTTGACTTGGCCTGCCCTACAACTCTGCCTGTTGTCTCCAGTCCCAGACTTGGGCCGTGAGCTTTGAAGGCAGGGAGCTCTCATTGGTACAGTATTTAGCATTGCCAGGCTTGGGGAACCTGCTGCTGTGCAATACAAATTATTATAATAATAAAAAAGAAGAGAATCAGAGGAATGCTGAAATGTCACTGGCCACATTCAGCCTTGTGTGCAGTTGACAGCTCCATTGATTTCACTAAAATTGCAGCATCTCCTGGCAAGGCTGACTTGCACCTTTGTTGCTCAGGGGGCCAGGCAGCATTAAGTTATAGGGTAATTTAAACATGGCACAGTTCTTTTTGGCTCTAAAACAATTCTGTCATTTGATCCTGCAGTGTGCTGGAGCTCTTTGGCTTTCCTTCAGATTTCAGCACTGTGTTACACTAAAAGTCTGATGTGTGACTAACTTTAAGTACACAGGACATCCTTGTGGCTTCCCTGGGACTATTCATGTGCTTGGAGTCAATGTGTCTAGAGATGCTGTGCTCAGCCAGCACACACAGCACTTGGCTAGGTTCAGCCTCTGTGTGGGCACTAATACTGGCTGCCTCACAGTAAAGCTGAAGTCTTCAGAGGTAATAAAAAACACACACATGCTGATACAGAGTAAAATGCCCTGGTTTTGACTGCATGAGGGCTTGTGGTCATTAGCATCCAACCTTTGCTCGAATCCCAGAGTGCACAGGAAGTGCCACCCTTCCTGTTGTAGATAAATATGGAAGTGTCTCAGTGAGGGAGGAGGAATTAACTCTGTTTTTCCTAGAGGTGATGGAGCTTAAGGAGAAACAGAAGGGGTAAGGAGTCACTTTTGCAGGTTCCCAAATCACTTTTTAATTAAATACTTAGGATTATAAAGCATTTGCTGCCTCATTAGTATTAAATTGTGGGAAGTTCTCAAATCCCGAAGCTGTTTGGTAACTTTCCGAAAGACAGCCAAATAAACTGCTCAGTGCTCAGGGAACCATCTAGAAGGGACTGTAAATGTCAGCCTGAGTTATTGACAATCAGTGACCAACATATAGGAACAATTTGTCAATTATTTATTTTATTCCTGCCAGCTATATTAGAGTTACTAGTCCCTGTAATTGTCAGGAATTTCCAAACTAGTCCTGTAGAAGAGGGTGGAGTTTCTTATGCTAAAGTTTGGCAGCCACTCTGGCTCAGGGCCTGAGGGAGGTGTGCATATTTCAGTTGTTGCATCCTGTAATGTAAGTTTTCAGCTTGCTTTTTCCCCCTTTCCGTTTTGACTTCCTATTAAGCAGAATTACCCTGCCTTATAGTCACCAGATCCTTTATAAAAAGAATAGTTCCATTCTAATGAGAGTTATAAACCATAGATTGCTGTAGCTGAATTTAAATGTTGCATTGGAATTGAAACTTCCAGATTCTTTTTAAAATCCTTTGCCTGAATTGCCAGTTTGGACAAAACCACCCCTCTGAAAAATATAGATACTTGCCTACTCCTATGGGCTTGGAGATCTTTTATATATTGCATTTTAACGTCCAAGTTAGAGGGAAGGAAGAGATAAAGGGATGCTAAATGTGATGAAGAAAGGAATGATCTTGGAGATACCCAAGTATAGGGTGAAGCAGTTGGAAACAAAAGTAGACATTCACAGAATACTTTCCCTGGTCTGTTAGCAGGGATGAAATGACTCTTCAAATTTAGAACAAGCTGCCATCAAAGTTTTAGATAGTGTGGAGTTTATTTCTGCAAAGTGCTAAAAAGGGTGAGTGATCATGGAAATCTAAAAGAAATATGTCTGTGCATAGACTTGTTAAGTACGTATATGTTTTATATAGAATACTTAGACTTTACTGCCTCTTTATTATACATAAAGAAACCCAGTGCTTAACCCACTTCTCCCTTTTCTTCCCTTTAGTTGATGTTCCACAGTGTGCATAAGTCAGCAGCTTATTAAAATTGTCTAGTAAAGTATTAGTCTGTTTTTTAAACTTGGGAATGTTTTCGTTACATGCAATAAATTTGAGTATATTTGAGGTAAAATGCATGTTGGCTCAAAAACTTGTATCACAATCGTAAGTGGCTGATGATAATATTTGCAGCTAAAGCAATGAAGAATTCTCATTTTGGAGTACAAATTGCTATCATGGTCTCAATTTTGATGTAAACATTTAAATGGCTGCAGTGTTCAGCAGCTGGGTAGCTGGTCACAGATGGCCTCTATGTGTAGGCTTCTAAAATAGTGGTGCTTCCATGCTTTTGCCAACATCTGCTAGCATACACCTTCAGAGTCTTTAGCAAGCAGAGCTTTGATTTGCTCTGGGCCACAGGCAGAATTGCTGAGTTTACAGAAAGGACTATCCTGACCAGCCTGAGACTCTAGGTAAAGGCTGACTTATTGTCAGTCCTTACCAGGCTTGTAATATTGCGGGAGGGAATTTGATGCCAAATACTTGTATAACCACAACTGCTGGATGTAGAGGGTACAATTGCTACTGTTTTTTACACACACACACACACACAAAAAAAAGGAATTTCTAGGACTTTTATTGAATTTGATAATTTCTGCTTACCCTGGTTAATTCATACCACGGGAGACCACACTTTAACTTAAACAAAGTTTGTGGGTTTTTTTATAGTAGTGTAACTTGTACTCCTTTGCTCCACAGCTTTACATGCCCCTGTTTTAATGAATGCCTTAAGGAGACAGCTTTGAAAAATAGTGACTAACAGCAGGAAGATACTTATATCTACTCTTTGGCATCCTCATTCACACACCTTGCAATGGAAGGAGAAGCCAGACATCCTCTCTAATGGGTGGAAATTGGGGGCTGGGATGAAATTTGAATGAAAATAATGAAATACCTTTTCTAAAAGTGGCTTGTATTTAGAAGCTATAAGGTCTTCCAGCCTTCAGAATTCAACATAAACCAGATATAAGAGCTCATGTACTATATTCATTTCCCACTCAGCTATTGGTGGAGAGAAATAGCAAGCTATTTCTGATAACACTAAGGGTTCTGTCTGCAGGGAAATGTAGAAATGTTCATTTCCAAATGACATCTATTGTACTTTATATGCTGTGCCTGAGATACTTTCAGAACAGAGCTCTGGCTTACAGGGAAGAGACCCAAAGGAGAGTTTGTGTGCTTGAAGGCTTGCCTGTTTTTTTCCAGTCACTTCTCTGGGTCTATAAAAAGATATTCCTAGTCTCCACAGCTTTGTCTTTCTTAAATTCTTGGGCTCTCAGACCTACATAATGGCTCCTTTCAGGACAGAGTTTCTTTTTAAAAGGGGACACATTTTGGATGGCTTATGGCTCATGGATGGGTAGGGTGGAGAGGAGAGTAAACTCCCTCTCTTCCCTCTAAGTATGTGTGCATATCTTTAATGACCTGCATTCTTGTCACAAAGCACAACTGGCTTTTTATTGCTGTGTCTCTACCTCTTATATTCTGCCTGTTAGTAATTTTCCAGAGGTGGCTTTGAGAGTTACAACTTATTTTAACACAGAGAGGTGACATTATAATATTCCCATGCAACAAATTCTGTTCCCTAGCAAGATGATAGTCTTACCAAATTACTTCAGCATGAATTCTTGCCAAGGCCAATGGCACTTTATTGGGCCTGAATTCAAACAAACTGAGGGTTCAAAGGGCATCCCGGAGGAATATATTCCAACTGCAAGAGGGAAAGATGGTTGAAATGTGCTCGCTGTCTATTTTTTTAACTACATTTCTGCCATAGCAGGCAAATTCTTGTGGGGAAACACATTTTCAGCTGCATTTGAATGGATTCAGCTTTAGGATAAACCCAGAATGTAATGAAAACACCTTGAATATATTAAACAAAGGACTTTGAAGACATCAGAAATAGTGGGTGGGAGACAAGCAGATGCTGACGAGTGTTACCAGTTTGCGGAAACAGGAGCTATCCAAGATGAAGAGGGTAATGTCTGGGTTCGTCAAAATGCCGGAGAGGGTTTCTGAATCATTGCTAGCTATGCAGGAAGTCTTGTCTTCCCCAGAAAAACTTTGCTGAGTAACCCATCTGGAAGTGATGAATCTCTTTACAAAAGATGATCCTTCCTTCCCCCTCATCTGTTATGTTCAGGACTGTATTTGTCCTGCAGAGGCAGCTCTGATCCAAAGGATGTTAATGGCCTCTACCTTCCCTTGCTTCCCTTGACAGGGAAAATTTTTCATTTCTCTATGCCCTGGCTCCCTGTGCTGTATGCAGGGAACCTCCATACCCTCTTCAGAACCTTTCTTTGAGGACCTGAGATCCCTGAAAGAGACTGCCATGATTTGTCAAAAGACTTTTCTGAGAAGCCTAAATCAAGTGAAGGAACAGGATTTGTTTGGCTTTTAGAATGTTAATCCCTTTTCTGCCAGGCAGTTGTAATAATAATCAAATGTCCCTGTTTCTGACAGGAATGCTTTGTCCTTGGCCATGGCTTCTACACCATGCAAACACTGTAGCAGAGAAGCCTGCAGATTGCCTGCTGCCAGGCAGCACATTGTTTTAGGAAGTCTTTTCTTCTGCGCAAAGATTCTAAGAACTAGTTTCAATTTTCTAGGCTTAGTGAATTTGTTTAATAATTTCATTCCTATATGATTCATTTTGCATTGCTAGAAGTCCTGCAGTTTGGGGATCTTGGTGTGCAGACATATTTGGGTAGCAAATCTTTGTGATTAACTTGGAAACTGATTGTTCTTCAAGTCAGCCAGACTCTTGTGAGCAATGAAGCCTCTGAATCCCAAGCATATCCTGCTTCTCCCAGTTGGCTCTCAACTACAGAAAGCAATCTTGACAAAGGACAGAGGAAATAAAATGAAAACAGGAATGCTTGATTGGGAGGCCAGGGAATCTTCCAGGGGTATTCCCTGCATCATCTCTGTACTAGATTTCTGCAGATTTCCAAGCCAGTCCAGCCCTTCATTATTTTTCTTATCCTCAGTCCTGTTGCAGAATTTATGCAAAGATGATAGTGGATGTGAACTGGAGAGTGACTGCTCGTGTTTAAAATGGTTTGACTAGAGTTTGATTGAGGTAAAGCCTGACATCTGGTACCTGATTAGGGCACTTTCCCAAGTTGACCTGGCAAAGATATGCACATGATTAAAGTTGTGCCATGTGCTGTAGGAAACACTGGGCCAGGATGATACAGTCATGCTGAAGTGCTCTGCTATACTTCCAGAGATGCACAGAGGTGATTTGAGATCTTACCATCTTAAAGAGGTGTTATAGTAAAGATATTATTATGAGTAAAACACTGTGCATTTTCAGATCACCCTTCAAGGCAAAACAGTTTAAATACATTATGTGACCGTAAGTTTGCTACTTAGTTAAATGCAGCACCATCAAAAGGAAAATTACTATCCTGTCAAATTTATTTAAAATTCTGTTCTGAAGGGCGTGACTGCATCCTTGTAAAGCTTCAGGAATGAACTCTTATCTAGAGCACGTGTTCACTGCAAGACCTGTTGCAGAGGAGAGAATTCCAAGTGTCTTTTGATGCCATCTTCCCCATGGTAGATGTTACCATGGCCCTTGGCACTGAGCAGCCAGTTTGGGTTTGTTGCTGGAAGAGAGAGGGTGGGGAATCCATGGCAGATGACCAAGAACAAGCCTCAGCATGCTGGCTTTTTTACTTCTTCCTATCTCACTTATATCTGCAGCATGCTGGTAGTACTCAGGAAACTCTGATTTCAATTCCTGTCTTAGGAAAACACAGTCACACTTATAAATTATGGCAATGAAATCCTTCCGTGCTTACAAGAATTATTCCTGGTCCTCTGAGAGGACAGGTCAAGTAAGAAAGATTATTTTAAAAAAATAATAAAAATTAAGACTTCACTACTACCACTCCTGGAGAATCCTGGTTCACAGAAAGGTAAATTATTCCTCACAAATATTCACAGTAGCAGAGATGGCAGAGTTGGAAATGAAAGACATGGCTGGAATATACTGTGGATTGACTTAGTGCAGTCAGTGCATAGAATGAAACAATCGCATAGATAAAGGCAAATTGTTTCAAAAGAAAAATTAGTAAAGCTGAGTTGTCGTTAGCGCATACATGCCCTTAAAGCTTATTGAACATCTGTGTTCCAAAACACTGACAATTATTTGAGGGATTCCTGAACTGGTTTTAAGCCATAAAAAAAATACATGAATCTCAAATTTTCTAACATTCTTAATTCTTCCTGATGCTGGAAGACGAAGTGTATTTTGTGAAAGAGAAAAAAGGTTGTCTTTCTGAAAAGCCACTGAACAAGCCATGCCTGTACTTTAGGTCTGGTGCATGAGTTAGGCATGTGCAGGCAGTGCTGGTAGGTTGGGCAACAGCTTGTGTTGCAACGTTTCACCTGCAGGTTCAGCTGATGGGAGCACTTTCAAAGCGAACATTTCAGTGGAATTTCTGTGTCCTAATTCTTTTTTTTTTGGCTGGGCTCTTGGTATTCTTTGAACACAGGCCAAAACTTTAATCCACTCATATGCATACTCAGGTTATTAATTATGAAACTAGTAAACTGTTGTCGGTGGCTGCCTTTTGCAAGGAGAATTTTACCTGTGTGTTAAAAAAACTTCAGAAAGTAAAATGCTTTGTGATAGGTAATAAGAGACTAAATGTCAGTCCTTCCTTTATTTTATATATAGAGGAATGGAGGAAGGCAAATTCTTCAGCTCAATGTGTGATATTTCACCGTTAGAAAGTGTATTAGGTTGTTCATCACTCTTGGCCAGGTCAGCAAGCTCATATACAAAACCAAAATACTTGTTGCTTTCCATTTCTAAGTACTGTTGATGACTCGGTTCATCATTTTTGTCTAGTTATGTAGCTGCTATGAGCTGCTGTTAATCTAAGTGTAAAACTGGTGCATTACTATATGCTTTATTGGAGCATGAGAAAGCTTAAATCAGTGCTATTAAGCACTATGCTCTGGAATAAAAAGGTGTATTAAGTATAACATTTTTACTGATGTTCTGCAGAGCAGTAATGGAATATTAAAATGTTTTTGCCCCCCCCCCATTCCAAACAAATTTGAAATCTTTAGCAATCAAATAATAAAAATACCTTTCTACTGTATGTGCACTGTTGGGAAGGCCTTTGGTTGGATTACTCACTATTTGTTGTAACTTACTGTAAAATAGTTGTTTGGGAGAAAATCCTCTAGGGCAGCAACTTTCATGCTGTGAGATTAGATGCCTGCCGACTTTCTGAAGTGAAGAAAAGGATACCATTTCTGGAGATTTTTCTCTCTCTGCTATTCACTTTGTAGTCTCTGGATTGCCTCAAGGAACAGGAGTGTAAAAAGGGTAAATTTTGAAGAAACAAATTATAAGACCTTTGCAGAAGGAAGGTGCAATGTTAGAAGGGCTCATGTTGTTCAGATCAAAGCCCAGTTATCCCAGTATCCTGTCTGTGCCAAAACTTATAGCAGATTCCTAGGGAACACTGTCAGAATGGGGCCAACAAACAGCAATACTTTCCCAGAATACTTTCTGCTTCCAAGAAGGACTTCCTGAGCCAAAAGTCTTTTGTCTTTGATGTCCCTCAGTGGACTTTTCTTCCATGAAGCTGGAGAGTAGCTCTTTGAACTTGCATAAGGGAGCCTGTGTTTTGCATTGTGGTGCTTCTCTAGACTTTGGCTCTGACTGTTGTGAATAGTTGCCTCCTTCCTGTTGTTTCTGTATTTCAGGGTTTATGACAGTCATAGCTAAAAAAGCAATGCCCCAGATTTGCTGCTGAAACCAGCTAATTGTGACTGAGTCTTTTTCTTAACAGGAAATTATTTCCATAGCTGTGAAGTATTCTTTGTATTAGAACAGAGCTGGGCCGTGGGGGTGTTTTATCCTGGTTGTTTTGGTTTTTAATTAATATTCTAGCTTGGTTTTATTCTGCCTAATCTATGGATTAACCTTGCTAAGATAGTTATTGGGGATCTCTGCATGGTAGTTGTCATTGCTTGTCATGAGGCAGCATAGCGGCTTGGTTTGCAGGATGAACAGTGGAGAAAAACAAGGTCAGGGGCAAGGAATGGAGGACATCTCAGGTCACATTGAGCCAAGATTACTAAGATAAATGTCCAGACTGTGAGAATAAACCTGGCTGCAGTGCGGAGAGGGCATGGGCCATGTCTTGTGTATGTTTTGATCCTATTTATTATTTTGTTATGGGACTAGAATAGAATCCCGCAGGTTTTGATGCAGTTTGAGCTTAATCTCATAAAAACACTGCCAGCGGTTTTCAAGATTACACTGAAAAGTCTTCCCAATTTGTGGACCAGGTCAAAACCCTGTCTTTGCTACAGTTACCTTGGCAATGTATGTCAAGTGACTGTAACACTCTCTCTTATGAACACAGATGCCCTTTCTAGCCCATTGATGCTCTGGATCGTTACCATAGGGTCACTGAGAGCAAAAAGAACAAACGTACCTGGCAGGAAAGAAGAGGTGGGAAAGTCCTGTAACATCCCGAGTGTTGAGTCCAGAGCAGGAGTCTGAAGCACATGGACAGCCGTCAGATGGACGTGTTCTTCTGGTGTTTCTGTGCTCTGCAATGCATACTCATCCAGAGGTTCACTCACTTGTTCTCATTTTTTAACTTACATTGCATTTTCTTCCTTTATTTCAGCTCAAAAAGAAGCAAGTCTATGTCGAGAAGGTAGAGAAGATGCAGCAGGCCTTGGTTCAGCTGCAGGCAGCGTGTGAGAAACGGGAACAGCTGGAACACAGGCTGCGGACCCGACTGGAGAGAGAACTGGAATCTCTCCGGATGCAGCAGGTACCCGCTGCTTCCGTGGGCTACACTACGTTTCTTGTAGGAGCCTTTCTTGTATTACATGAGTTTGTTTCCTGGTTTGACAGAGTGAGGCTGAAGTGCCCTTGCAGATCTTTCAGATTAAACTCTAAAGGAGGCCACAACCATCACCTGGTCTGTCTGAAATGGCCTAGCCTGCTGTGTTTCACCCTGGGGAGTTCTTGTGGTCAAGCTAGTGCTGCTCTGAACCAGCCTCTGTCCTTCAGACAAAATGCAAATAAACCAACCCTGACTTTTACAGATGCAACCTGAGATGACTTTTTTTTTTTCCCCCTTTGGAACCCAGCGTCAGGGTACGTCTCAGGCTGCCAATGTCTCAGAGTACAATGCCACGGCGCTTATGGAGCTCTTGCGCGAGAAGGAAGAAAGGATTCTTGCTCTGGAAGCTGACATGACCAAGTGGGAACAGAAATACCTGGAGGAGAGCGTGATGAGACAGTTTGCTTTGGATGCAGCTGCAACTGTGGCTGCTCAGAGGTAACTGAGACTTTTCATAATGTGGGTATTATTTTCTTTTTCCAGTTGAATGTCTTATTTCCCACTGAGGAATGTTGTCATGCCACCCTCCCATGATACCTCTCCTTGCAGTCTGAATGGCTTCGCAGACTTCTGTATGTGAGTGGAGCTTGGCTGCTTTTCCTGGGAGCTGTGCAACTGCCAACAGATAGAAACTTTTTTCCAGGGGAAGATTCCCTCACATGCAGGAGCCATTCCTAGAAGCTCTTGATTCAAAAACAAATGTATGAGGACTGCTTCAGTTCTTATTTTTTTAAACAGGCATCAGACCTCACTGAAGTCATGTGAGATGGGGTAAACTTGGTGATTCACATTGTTCACCCTGAATGGCTTCTTTGTTCTCCAGAATGTTTTTGCAAATTACTTTGTGGTATTGTCCTCAACATTGTTACTAACCAGAAACATCTATTAGCAAATTCTGCTCAAAACATTCTACTGCTTATGGAGAAGACTGCTTGTGGGGGCAGGAAGGGAAGGGTGTCTGAAATTTGGTAACAAGCTCACATTCCAAGACAACTGAACTGAACTGAAACACTTATCATAGCTGTAAATGGGCCCAAGTGCTTCAGCTAGATGGTAAGCAAAAACTGACATTGGAGTGCAACTCCTTAGAGTTAAGTATTGCTTACATTTCATTGCTAGTGAGTTTCTGGTTGTTGATGGCAGATATTATTTTAGATTGTTTCAGGAATCAGATGTGAAATGAGGTGTCATTGCAACTGGCTTCCTAGCTTGTAAAATTATACTGGAATTACATGAGTGAAGTTGCAGATCTGCTGGGTTAGCATTTACAGACTTATCTTATCTTGCTCCAGAAGCAGGCTGTTATTTTAGGGCATTGATGCTTCTTGTGCACTGTTTTCTGCCTCCCCAGGGATTCTCTAAAGGCTCTTGCTACTGCTTGTCCTCAGAGGCCATGTTATAGTTTCCGATCTGGTCTGTTGTTTATCATGGAATGAGAGAGGATGTGTTAGGCTTGTTCAGGTTTTGTTAAATGAACAAGAATGCCTTCCAGTCAGGAAAGAGCCAACCTCTTTTTTCCCATTTCCTTCTAGCTGTTTCTCCCCTCTAAGACAGCATTCCGGTAGCGTCAAGGCTTCTGCAAGTTTCTATGCAATTGGCACCAATAGTGTCTCCTTCAAACACAGAGGCTGGGAGAGATGCCACTAATATCAGTGACAACCTCATCTACACTGTGCACAAATTTCTTTTTCTTTGCTAGTGGAAAATAGCATCCCTTAGGAAGTTGAGGAAGAATGCAGGAAGAATGCTTTACAGCACGGGCAGGAATATGGGTCAGGTTAGGTTTATTTTATGAATGATTTTCTTATGCCTTTGACATTGGTGCTTTGGCATTCCT